CACACACACACACACACACACATACACACACACACACACACACACACACACACACACACACACACACACACACACACGCCGTCAGCACATTCACCGTCAACCACGTGCAAACAATCAGCTCCCATTAACAAACCATTACAGGACAGATCTGGTGTCACTGGGACTCAAACAGCAGCTGGTTCACATTAAAGCAGCGGTTTGTTGCTGCGCTCTGTTAGAAACCACAAACCAGTGAGTTCATGGCCGCGGTTTCACATGTTCTCTGCTCATGTTCTCTGCTCATGTTCTCTGCTCATGTTCACTCATCGGAGCCTCTTCTGTCCCCGGGACGTCAGAGGAGCATGAAAAGTATCTGAATAGTACATTATATTATCCAGCAAAGTGTGATTAATACAAATCCTTTGTGGTCGGTTCAAGTGTTTGTGGGGAAACTCAAACTTGCAACATGAGCGTTAACGTTCATTCTTGACCTCGTGAAAAAGCACTTGTTTGTGTTCACTTTCTTCCTGAGATAAAGACTGGTGTTGTATCTGTATGTTCAGTATAACAACTGGTTAGCTTAGCTTAGCATGAAGGGTAAACAGCTAGCATGGCTCCAGTCTAAAGGTAACAACGTTACACCTGCCAGCTCCTCTAAAGCGCCCTGATTAACAGCTCACATCACATGTTGTGGAGTTACAGGGGTTACATTTTAATAACTTTTACGGACGTCCCTGAACTCACCGACGGTGTTGCAGCCGCAGGGCAGGCAGCGGCTGCTGCCGGCGTCTCTGTGGTAGTAGTCGAGGCAGCGCTCACAGTTGGGCCCGTCCGTGTTGTCGGCACAGTTTGTGCAGTGACCTCCGTGACCCGAGGCCCGGTACAGCTCGGCATCGTAGTAACACTCAGAGCTCTTCCCGTTACAGTCGCAGGCTGAGAGAGATGGGCGGGAAACATCAGAACGCATTATTATGTGCAGTAAAGTACCAAGTACTCTACAGCAGTAACAGCAGTACAAATCTACAGCAGTAACAGTAGTACAAATCTACAGCAGTAACAGTAGTAAAGCAGTACCAAGTACTCTACAGCAGTAACAGCAGTACAGCAGAATCAGTAGTAGTAACAGTACAACAGTAGCAGCAGTGAAGCTGTAACAGAAGCAGTTCTGTCAGTGACTCGTTCTCAACAGTTAGAACATGTTTGTTTTAATACTCTCAGCTTCCTGCAGGACGGATTCATTCGACTGTGGGAGGAAAAGAAACACACTAATATTTCCCTGAACCCTGTTAGTCATGCATCTGTGATATGAATGTGTAGCCGTCAGGAACTACAGCTCCCACAATCCCCCAGGGGCTGTCATGACTACTTCATCATGTGATCTGTTCCGTGGCTCAGCCCCACCAGACAGCTGCTGATCCCATTTACTCTGCTGCATAATTGTTGTTGCAATGTTTGAGAGATGAGTTTCTGTGTTCGGCTTGAAGGCGTTTAACTTTAACCTCTGCAGTAAAGCAGTGGTATCTGTAGTAAAGCAGTAGTATCTGCAG